GGTATTTACCAAAGAAACGGAATGCACAAAGACAAGAAAAGGAAAGAGAGAAGGATGCAAAGGAAGGACAGGACAAGGAAAAGGGACGAAAGCAAGTTCAAAGGGACAAGGGTTGTTTTAATTGTTTGTGGTGACACGAGCTGCTGGAGTGGAGAACGCTAGGGGAAAATGTCGGCCGTCACCGATGATGATAATCAACAGGAGATTCAGCAAGCAGAGTGGAATGTTTGGAACCGGGAACAGGAATGGTACGGTTCATGGAAGTAATCGTGATTGGAGTCGCGAGTGGGTAGGTTCGCTTGATGATGGGTCCGGTGACTGGAATGGGTTCGATAACGACTGGAATTGTTGGAACGAAGACCCGTCTTGGAATGCAAAAGACTGGTGGAGCACGGAACAGTCGAGCTCCAATATGGTGTCTAGCTCCCAAGCGAATTTGTGGCAGGAAGCCACCAACTGTGAACCGTCGCAGAATGTTGCAGCTGTGACTGTCGAGGCGCAGGATCAAAGTGCGCCTCGATCGAGCATCCGAGTTGCGAAGCCTGGGATGTTGCCGAATCGAGCATGCTTGTTGATTGGCGTGTTGAGTGCCGGAGTGCACCCGGTTCCTCCCAAAAATTGCCAGAGGTTGACCCTGTGAAGTTTGATGACAGATTGATCGAGTCTTGATTGGTCGATATGTCGTGGATACTGTGGAGCTTGTGGAAACTGTTGACCGGAGTGATTTCCACCGGAATATACGGCGCTGCACTTGAGTGAGAGCGTGCCCTCACTGCGAAGTTTGTCTGGGAAGATAATGGATGTGCAAGGCAGGAAGATGGTGCAAACTGACTGTAGCAATGGTCATTCCTTGAGTGTACAGTTCTATGTGTGCACTGGGATGCCGTTTCCACTGGTCAGTATTGCCGATTGTTGTTGCAGGACTTTCGGACCGTAGAGGCCCGAGACTATCTTGCCTTGATTGACTCGACTGGAAACCCTCTTCCGATTGTGCAACAGGGTACATTATTGTACCTGACACCGCTTGTCATTCCGCATGCCGCTATAGATGCGGCCAGATTCGAGTTGTTTGACTGGTATGCTGTCGGGGACGGAGCAACAGCTTGGTGCCCTGGGGGCTTGCTGCACATGTCGGATGTGCGTGACAGCTCGTTTGACTATTTTCAGCACATTGGTGCCCTGATTGCTGCGGCACAGGGCATAAAGAATGTTCATGATTCATGATTACACGTATGATGCGTCGGAAGTGAATGAGCTACAGGTGAAATGGATCCGGCACGTCAAGATACAGAAAGGAAATGCTCGATCCTCGAATCGAAATCTCGATCCCCAAACAGCAAAAGACCACGCCAGAAGCATGCCATGGTATGCCATTCGTCGCGACCACTGTCACGTGCGAAGAGGCTTGAAGACTGCTGGGGAAGACACAGGTCGCAACTAGTGATACCTCGTGCCATCCGTGTGTTTCCAACATTTACGCCACTTCTCCACGCACGACGGACGATTACGCCGACCATGACGACAGCGACCAGGGCCAAGAGACCACCAAAGAGACCAGTAAGAGACAACCAGGAGACCAGCACCAGGCCACCAGGAGACCGCCAGGACATTGCCGAAGTGCTTTCCCCTGCTTGAGTGCTGGCGCTGGATTCAGACACCATGGAGAGCGCGACGAAATCGCTTTCCCCAAATACTGGCGGCTCGAGGACCTGTGCGACAGGTACTTTCCGCCAAGTACTGGCGCGTTTCGGGCGCAGGCGACTCATGATTGCCCCCCATAAGCTGGCGAGATCCACAAAAACACTCGGAATCGTTTCCCTCAAGTACTGCCGACAACAAGAAGCGGTCCATGTCTGGGCGTGCACGGCAGGCGAATCGTCTGTAAAAATAGCACGTCAACGAAAACTATGCACCGCGCCACAGCGGCAGATCGGACCCGCGAGCATCCTTTGTAAATAATAGGACGTGGGAACCCGATATGCAACATATGCTGTTTGTAAGAGGACGTGCGGAGCTTCTTTTGGATTCCCGAAGTGGTACATAACTTGTTTGAACTTCTATTTGATCTCTGGGTGTCATTTTTCTCATCCTGATTATTCTTTTCGATCCGGCATCCGACTCATTGGCACTTCCAGCGAGTGCAAGAGACGGCGAGAGCGACAGATAGGGACTGCCACCCGATGAGCACCAGAAGGAACCCCCAGAAGGAAAAGGTAGAAAGTTGTGAGACTGAAAGGGAGAGCGGGGAGAGAGAGCACAAGAGAGCCGTTTGCTTCTCATGCACGTTGTCCTGGGGCGTATCCCTGCCGCGCCTTGTGCGGCCGTTTGCTCTGTTTGCTATGTGCTTACTTGTGCAAGCATTCCGGACGAAGGTCATTGTTTGCAGTTGTTTTTCTACCTTCGTATTCTTGCAAGGACTGTGCTTGCATTGCACTCCCGATCTCCTCAAAAATTTCAGACATGATTTCAACTTTGTGATATCAACACCTCCGTACGGGTTGTCGGCGAACTTCCAACTTCGATGGGCACCCACAGCAGGCTGAATTAGAAGTTTTCAGTGCTAGAAAGGCGGTGTGCTACACATCACAAACGTCACATACCTTCGAAATTTAGACTGTGTGTGTGCGCGCTTGCGTGCACCTGTTTGTGCATGAGTGTGCAAAGCTGCCTGTGGCGGTGTTTCCACGCATGTGATGTTGACGTATGTTGAGCGACAGGTGTCTATTCTTGCCAGGACCCCCGAGATGACAGGTGGCAGTGGGATGTGGACAAGACTCGTCAATTCCTAGATGAGGAGGTGTGCATCGATTCGCTCTGACCCGTAAGCCTCCCGTGGGTGTGCATCTAGGCGACCATGGTCGATGACATCAAGAAGAAAAAGCTGACTAGCCGTGATGACTTGGGCACGCCACTCAGTGCTCAGATCTCCCCACAATGGTACACGATCTTTGCGAGCTGACAGGCCTGCCCCTGCCCCCAACGGATCTGAAGCTGAAAGCCATTGCCAAAATCCAGCGCAGTACTGCAGCACAAGCGTCGAAGTTTGGGCCTCAGCTGTCCACACAGTCCTGCGAGTGCGGGAGCGGGTGCTTGAAGCAAGTCCAGACGTGTTGGGCAGGCAAGAAGCAGCGAAGGAAGAGAAGGAAAAAGAGAAAAAGCCAGCAGGGGTGGCTCGCACTAACACACGGCGGGGACGAGGGGGTGTCACCGAGGAAGTGCCACTGCCTCAGCGGTTGCATCATGTTGCATCGTGGTGCATCGCACCCGTAATTAATATGCACAAGACACAAGCTCGAGGGACGTGGACCTCGGGAATGTTGATGTCGAGTTCTTGAACTACAAGGCATGGCTCGGGAAGAAAACCAACGGCAATTGCAGCAACTTGCAGCACGCGCAGCTGTTGCTGCAAGCTGTCCACAGCTTCTGGCCTGTCCCGTGTCAAAGAGAGGGCAAGAGCTTGGTCTAAGCTTGCCTTTTGTTGCAGGGTCTCGTCATGACGAAGAAGCAGAAAGCAGCTTTCGCAGCGCGAGCCGCGAAAGCCAAGAAGAAACAAGACCGTCGCTAGGCCTGACCCGATGTCTGAAACCGGAGAAGAGCGTGCAGTTTGATTGCGCTTGCTTGCGGAAGGAGTTCATTGTTCTGAGCTTCGAGCTGTGACAGTGAGTGCTCCACCATGAGGCTAGAGTTGCGCTGAAGGATTTGTACGGACGTGCTTGTTTCAAGAGGTGGGGGGGAGACTTGCAGGATCATGGACATGCATCACGATGAGGTCTCACAATCAAGGTGGCTTTGTGCCTTGCAGTTTTACTCTGGCTTCTCCGAGCAGAAAAGAGAGTGATAAGCCAGGCTGTGGCGTAAGCGTCATATGACCGCCTAACCTCTCCGTGTGTACTGCTCCAGGCCACACGAACAGGTGCTTGCATGGACAGTCAAGCTCATGAGCAGAACGTAGCAGAACGAGCAGTCCACAGAGGGAGTAGCAGCTTCTGGGCTTAAGTTTGTGAAGTGTTGCAGGGAGGGACCAGCTGAAGTGGTGCAGGATTAGCACGCCCTTGTCACGCAAGCAGGCATGGAGCATGCCAGGGCCATGCACCGTGTGGCGAATTCATCAAAAGAGGCACCTCTCAAGAAGGAGCTCTTGACGAAGCAGGCGGTTACCAGCCCTGCAAGTCGTGCCGGCATCCCTGGAAAAGGGACAGAGGCATCAAGTGTCCCAGCCCCCATCAAGAAGGAGCTCCCGACGAAGCAGGGCACGGAATCTGCAGGGAAAGCAGAGGCCGCGACAGTTGCTTCAGCTCCGATCAAAAAGGAGCTCCCGACGAAGCAGGGCAGGGAATCTGGAGGGAGAGCAGAGGCCGCGAAAGTTGCTTCAGCCCCGATCAAGGAGAAGCTCCCGACGAAGCAGGGCACGGACTCCGGAGGGAAAGCAGAGGCCGCGAAATTTGCTTCAACCCCGATCAAACTGGAGCTCCTGACGAAGCAGGGCACGGAATCTGCAGGGAAAGCAGAGGCCGCGAAAGTTGCTTCAACTCCGATCAAAAAGGAGCTCCCCACG